AGGGAGGCCAAAGAATCCGATAGAAGTCAAAATCTTAAATCAGGTGCAGCCACTCGATCAAATCCAGGCCTTCAACTAGGCATGACGATGTAAGCTGACTAGGAATGGGTTTGAGTCCAATCAGATTGGTGGGTCGGTGCGGAGTAGAAACACTCTTAGATCTCAAGAGGACTTTGAGTAACTCTACTGAGGTACCAAACTCTTTGAAAAGGGTCGAGCAAGGTCAAAACTTCAAAGAGACTAAAAAAATTTTCAAGTATAAAAAAGATTCATTTTGAGAAACCAAACTTTTCGAAGAAAGGTCGAACTGAGGCCATAACTTAAGAGCTAAAAAATAAATAGGACTTAGATTTTAAAAAATCATTTTTTCTCAAAGCATATCGCAAATTACAGAAATTAAAAGGCCAAAGAGCATTCATACTTCAAAAATTTTCTACAGGGTCGTGATCATTGAACAGACACATCAGAAATTGCAGATACATCAAAAATTTCAAAACATTCAAAAAAAAAAAAGTCTTCTAAGTGTTTGAAGGAGCAGGAGGTTGAGAGGAGCTTAGAGCTATATGCCTTGAAAAGAGTTCAGAAGAATGCAGCCTGCCAACCTCTGTTGAAGAATGCCTCTTGGAGCTGAGGGATCTAAAGAGCTAAGTCATCCTCAGCTTTCTCCATACCTTCATTGTATGCAACATCTTCTTTTTCTTTTGCATCGGCCTTGTACTAATCAAATTCCTTAAGAAGGGTGGAGTAATCAAGTTGGGATTGAGAGAGCTCCATGTTGACTTCATGTTCGGATTCCTTTAGCTTCTTGACCTCTGTTAGAAGCTTCCGGTTCTCTTCGGTTAGGCCTTAATTTTGAGCCTGTAGAACCTTCACCTCTTCGTAGAGTTTGGCATATTCCTCATCGACACTTTCTTTCTTTGCTAGCACTGAAGCTCGAGCATGGATAGCATATTTCATAAGCTTGTCCTTTCTCGCTATCCTAGTGCCCACCTACTAAAATTTTTGTAGACCCTTGATTGAAAAAGAAAATCGTTTTAGAGGAGTTTTTGACGAAAAATAAAGTAGGAAAGTTTGAGGGATCAGACTTACCAAAACCATGTGTTGAATGGCTTGACGAGATACTTTGTCATCAGTAAGTGCTTCATTAATTGCCAAATCTTGAGGCAAGATGACTCCCCTGACAATCCCCACTGCTATACGTTGAAATCTTCAATAGTAGAGTCCTTAGCAATAATCTCTCTCTTTTTTGCCCTAAAGACAGGACGGAAAGGAGGGTTGACTGGTTTGGGAGAAAGATTCGCCTCGAACTCGGCCATTCTATGCCTTTCAGAGGCAGGGTCTTTGGCAAGCTCAAAGATTGAGTCGTCTTCTTGAAAAGGAGAATGAACAAATTCTGGAGGATCTATCTCAACAGGAACAGAAGTTTCAGCAGTAGGAGCCAAATCAGCTTGGTCACCTAGTGGCAGATCTTCATCGTTGGCTTCAGAAAGAATCACCTCGGGTAGGGCTTCGGTAGTTGGCTCATCAAGAACAGAAATCAGAATGGCTGAAACAGTTGGAGTCGGTTCGGTGGAAGGAGTCGACTCAACTGTTGACAAAAAGTCTAAGAAATTCTTCACAATCCTGCGTCCGAAGGATGCTAGGGAATGTCTCTTTTTTGCTCGGGGAGTCTTGTCCCGAGCAGCTTGTATGGCCTCCCGATCTGCTGTAAATGTTGCATTAGGTCGGTTCGGCACGACGATAAAAGATGTGTAGTTTGGTGTGTATCCAAGCAGTGTATGGGCGACAAGGCAGAACAAGGACTCATTGAAATCTCAAACCTTCTGAAGTTGATCCAACTTAACAGAAGACTTAGGAATCTTGCCTTTCACCGTCTCTCTTACATAAGCAATATATCAAATACAAGAAGAGGAAGTATAACAAATATTTCTTGAGGAAAAGAAGATGAAGCCATGAAGAAGATGAAGTGCAGAGAAAGAAAAACGTAGAAAGAAGAGGATAAGAGTCTGAGATTCTGGTGGCAGAAAAGCAAAAATTCGAAGAAAGACAGTTTATAAAGAATAAGGAATTTTAAAAGACAACATTTAAATGCTCTTAATGTGCCGCCAAAATGAAAAGACATGTTACAAAGTACAAGTGATGATGAATCAAGAAACGAAGGAATCCAAGGTGAAAGGTACGCTGAACTCTCTTGGTCTTCTTCCATTCGTTTCATTATCTTTACTGACTTAAGCATCAGAGTAGCTTAGATCCAAGCACTTTGATCTTGGACATTTTGTCTGGTTTGCAGGAAGAGGAATACTGAAAGATCAAGTTCAAATACACATTAATATTTCAATTCCAGTAGGAGGTAATCTCGATTTTTTGCCTCTTACAGACACGATTATTAAATATGTATAATAAACGGTCTAAATTAATGTTTGACATTTAGAGCATACTAAATATATATTTTTTTTCGTGGAAACACAATACAAAAATACCCGATAAGTGTATTATATGACATGACACGAATTAATGTCCCTACTAAATTTTTGCGACAAAGCACCAACTCAACCTATGGTATCATATCCCTTCTCACACAATATCACGATTTTCTCTCCTAGATTTACAAAATAATCATTGTCTTCTTGTCTTATCAACCTGTTCACAAGAACTGAATGGGTTGTATGAAATTAAGATTTCGTTATTGACCTGACTTTTGAGTCTTTCCCTCGAAGTCACTGTAAATTGCAATGGTCACTTATAATATAATCAAACTAAGTTATCTCATAGCAGAAACCTCCCCGAGGGGGATTTAGGGGGGGAACATACTATTTCTATAACTTTTTACCCGTCCCTACATTCCTGACTTTATAAAGGAAAGAGATAATGGTCAATCTTTTCCTTTGGCACTGATCCGTAACACAAGTGAAAAATACCATGTACAATTTCCCTTTTTCCTTTCAATTGCAAAAAACGAGAATTCGCAAGGAAGTAGAAGACAAAAAATAAGAACCTAAAGTTGTTCGTCGGATATGATCGAGAATCGAAAGATGTCTATCAAAGATCAATAATGGGATTCTTAGCTAAAGAAAGGTTCTCTGACATGGAAGCTCAACCCCCACCTTGATCGGTCTATGGGGCAACCTAACAGATGATGAGATTCTCAGTCGATTTGATCGAATTTAAAAAAAAAATTCATTATTCAGCACAGTAAAGCTTTCGATCAAGAAGTTATCACCTCCTCCGTTTGGGCTTTCACTCATTTCAGAACCCTTATGCATTGGTAGGCTTTCAACTCAATCTCATAACCTATCTATTGAGCGCCAATAAAAGAAAAGGTTTCATATGGACTCATCATCTGATGCAAAACCAATGCGAAAGGGAGAATCAATATGGGAAAAATGGGGATTGATAGCTTTCAAGAATCAGTGGAAAGGAAGGAATGCAGGGATTAGTTCTTTCCTTCCTTTCCAAAGACGGTAATTAGCTGGTATAAAAGATTCAATTGAATGAACACCACCTTGGTTGTTTTCAAATATATCTAATGTTAGATGGTAATACCTGAAGGCAAAAATAGGTGAGGTAGGGAAGAAGAGATTAAGGATAGTTACTCCACTCCATAGATAGTGCACACATAATCTTCTTTCATTTTAATTCATTTCAAGTTGAAAACGCAGGCTGCTAGCGGGGTTGGCTATGCCTATTCTCTCTCTTCTTTCGTTCCGCTTTACAATCGGAATAATGAACCTTAGAATTCACTCTACCATTCAATGAAAAATTGAGATTTGAGAGGAAAACCAACTAGCGGATCAAAAAATATTTGTATGAAATGTCACTTACTCCAGCCTAAGCTTTCCAATCAACCGATCCCCTATTTTAGGGGCGTATGTGCTAGGTAGGCCTAACGATCACTAATTAGTTGAATGAACACATCCCTCTGGCCTATCATTTATTGATCGATTCGGCTGAGATTCATCTGAGACAAACTTTTGTGTTGAAATTAAAATTCTTAACTATAGAGAAAAAAATCCATTGTTATCATAATCGTCAATCAAAATTTTATAGACGGACACTACTTTCCCACTATTCCCTTTAATTCAAGAGACCACAAAACTAAGGCTTACAACAGATTTATTTTTTAAATGTCGAGCATTTATTTCAGCTGCTCTTTAATTATTTCAAAACACAAGTAGGTAGCCGGCTCTAGTTCATAAATAGTACAACCACAATGTTAAAGTTGAGAAAAAATAGTTGGTGCAGGATTGAATCACCCAACAATGCGATGTACAATACTGTACAATATTCACATAAAAATAACCTAATACACAAGATTCCCAACATTATAAATTCTGAGAATCAACTTCGTCATATCGACAGGTAGATAGAGGACCAGTCTGATAGTTTACCAGCTAGGAACTCTGCCTCTGCTGTTTAGCCTAATCGTGGAGACATGATTCTCAAGGAACGTACATCAGGGTTCCAATCATACGTTTCCTGCTACAAAATATGAAGGAAAAAAAACAAACAAACAGAGTCCTCCTCCACTTATCGGGGAGCATTAACTCTGAGGTGGTAGACCTGTCAATCACTCTCGGTGGTTGGTTCTGTTCATTTGGCCGATTTCTTCAACTCAGTAGCGTATGAGCAATTTCTTAAACCTGAACCTGGAAGCTCCTTACATGAGAGGGACATGGCATCCATCACCAACAAACAACCACATAAAAAAAAAACCTAACACTGTATTATGATTCATGCATATCCATGAGCATCGAGTTTCTATGAATCAACAAATGCTTAACACAAACCAGCTGAGCCCGGTTACAACTTTTGCATTAAATAAAAAGTTTTGAGATAAATAAACATACACAATCATGTTCTTGTTGAAGTAAAAATTCTCATCCTAGAATAAGGGCTTATCAATGCAACTCGTGGAGTTCAAAAATCCAGTAAAAGAAAAAAGAACTACAGCATAAATATCATATAAATCTTGCTCCTCAAGCACCCTACAACAATCCGTTCTAAGACGTCTTTGCTTTGACAGTCTTCCTTTTGGCTTGTTTCCTTTGAATTGAGTTCTTCATCCCAAGGAAAAAAAGCAATGCACCAAAAAGTGCCATGCACTGCCAATAAACAAGGATCTAGTTAACCAAAGGGCGTATGCATAATACACAAGTAAGCTGGCAAACATTATTAAGAATCAAACTAACCTGCAGGAACTCTTGCAAGAGTACAAAAAATTGTGGCTCATCATATTTGTAGTTATAGAAGTCATGCAGAAGTGGAGTGGTATACGCCAAGTAGTAAAGCTACAAAATTGAGAAGCAGGGGAGATCAAAAAAGAATGTGGATAGATGATCAAATAGGCAACAACAAAAAGAAAAAAAAAACTACAATGTCATCCCAAATGCATCATCAAAAGGCAAAAACGTATAGAAAATAAAGGTGGTCAGAAGTTCTAACCAGTAGATAAGCCCCAATGGAGCTGCCAAATACAAATAGAAGGCCACCAAGCCCTTTGAAAGCAATAGAGGCCGCAACCCAATGCTTGACCTGAATAAAATATGTCCAAGTTACAAAATAATTACACACAACCACGATGAAAAAATTCCAATTTATTAAGGCAAACGATAAGAAAACTAATGAACATATCAGAGCCTTACATCAATATTCAGTCCCTCTTTCCCAAACTTAGAGGTTAGAAATTTCTGGATAACAACTAGTTTAGGAGCTATTTCCTTTGCTGCAGGCCCACCATCAACACCGAAGTCATTGAACCTACGCAGAAACATATGACATAAACTACAGAACACAAATTTCACCAACAAAAACTAATGATCATGGATTTTGAAAGCTCGAAAGAATAAAACATAGATACTAAATTATGTAAGTATTTTCAACAATGATTTGTTTCTAAGTCCCAAGAATCACGTTCAGAGTCCTGTAGCAACCTTACACATCAAGTGCAACTAGTGCGCAAGATGAGAGGAACTAGCAGTTTGGCCCACGAGCAACTATTTTTTTATGTGAATTAAGGCCCTGTACAATTTGTGGGCAAGCCAAAGGGATGACAATCATCAAAGCACAAGTATGAAGGATTCAGTAAATGAATACCCTGTGCTATGGGTATTAAACCAGACACCTAACGAATGCCGCTGAGTAAATCAAGAAGGATAAAAGCCACGTATTTTCACCAGAAAAAGATGTGCCCAATCCATTGGTTTTGTACTTCTTCCCTAAAAAATTTTGTCCAACAGACATCAGAGTATATATTTCATCTACGAAATAGTCATAGATATAAGACAATTGTGCTCTACAATGTCAATTAGTATAAAGATAATCTTGGTTCTCTCTCAAGATCTTTCCCAAGCTATCTCAACTTTGTAAAGATATTTCTTAAGAAATATTTATCATGGATTTTGCCTTTCTGCTAAAGCCACGTATGTCAACATATGTGAAGAAAGAAATGTAATAATTGATAAGAATAAGAATAAGAATAGTCGATAGTTTCCTTTAGGACGACAAGGGGGACTACTAGGTTATTGGTTAAAGTTCGGTCTAATGACCTTTACATTGTGGGTTCTAACCTGAAGGCAACCTGTTGTACTCAATCTACCCCTTACAGAGTCCATTAATGAGGACTAAACTTGATAACATTTTTTAGCTTCTTTCAGGGGTGAGAGAGAGAGGGTGAAAACTTTCCAGTGGATTCATACCTAAAACCAACAAACAAATCAGAAGATAATATCTTTCTCCTTTTGAAAAATGTAATAGACGAAAGCACTACTCCCTTAAGAAGAAGCAAAAAAAACAAACAAATTAGCAATGTAGGACGTTTTTCAGATATTCATCAATAAGGCCACCACACATACCACAAAACTGTTCCGGCATCAACATCATGATTATCTCCGGCAACACTATTGCAAAGATGAATCAATTCTATCCAGAATAATTCATCACCATTTGTCATCTCCATCACACCCATACAAAAACAATGAAACATCCGCGGAAAAATGTGACATGTTCGTCGTGTTTCGTAGAAATGCTTCAATAAAAGAAATTGATTTTACAGTAGAACAATTACAAGTGCTGGTATATAATGCCACCCCCATTACACTCTTGCACTCAATTTGGTAGATCAATAAAGAAGTTGATTATTTAAAAGGGTAGGCACACAAAATATTCGAATCTTGGATTTTATGTAAATGGACCCAAGAAAACAAAGGCTTCAATTTAATCAAACTTAGTACAAATACTTAACTATGTTGAAAAACATGTGTTCTCTTATGGGGAAGAATTTTATTAAAGGACAAGAAAAGAAGGGGGGGGGCTAAATAAGATGGGTAGTGTTAACAACACACTAACAAGTCAGGCTAAACAATTTAGAAAATACGAAACTGAGCTCATGAAGATCTCAAAACAAATACATTGAGGGCAACGCAATATATCTTTCTGTCTTAGAGCAATAAAATATTAGAAAACAAAATGGCTTCCATCATCCCCACTCCAGTTAAAACAGAAGATTAAGGTTCATAAACATCAAAGCTAAACCAAAGTGAGCTTGCTATTACTACCCCTATCTACTCTAAATACAGTTTGACAAGGTTCTTAAATCCTAAGATGTTGCTTGGATATACTATGACACAGCCTAAAGAATTCTGCCACTTAACGTCCTTGATAAAAATTTACTCTTCACTCATTCATTGATGTTTGGTATTTGATTTTATAATACAACAAGATGGACGTATCTATACAAAGGGAAAAAGACAAAGCTTTGGCAAAAATGTCAACGGTAGTAATTGTGTTACATTTGGCATGACTACTGGAGATTTCCGCAATCCAACTGATGAGGTTTGTGTAAATATTAAAGATGGAAATTGTGGACCAATGGGCGGTGTGATTGCTAGAGTTTCAATAGGATCTATCTTTGAACTTGACTACTGGAGATTGCCATAATACAGCCCATGAATTTTGGAAACACACAAGAGGAAGAATGGCTTTTTCGATGGGGTTGGGGTCTATTGTGCGATGCACATAGAACCATGGCACCAAAAGTACTTTCCAATTCAATTGGACATAACTAGTGATTCAATCCCGAAATGAGGATAAGAACAAGGAGCTACCTCTTGCCATAAGGAAGGTAATTTGGCAACAGTGCCCTCTATGTAAAAGTAATCTCTATATGTCTGCTGAAACAAATAATTGCCAGTATTAATCAATTATCAGATAATATGCACCATAAAAGTCAACTAAGAGGAAAGGAGAACTGACTAAAGTACTTTGGCAACAGCTCTACTATTTACTACAAATATGATACTTCCGTTTATGCTGGATAAGCAATCCAATATCTCACTAGCAATACCACTCTTTTTAGAAACATAGTTCAACCTTTAACTGCATTCCTTTGTGGAGTTGCTCAAAATCAGACCCCGACTGGTGCCCAGTCAATTTTCAGCTTCAATTCATAAAAAAAACAACACCCAATAATAAAAAAGAAGTAGTTTGTGACTTGAGACTAGTGAAGTGGGGGTTGTTAGGGACTAGGGTCAGCCATTCAAACAAATATTTGCTTCTTTGCAACTCAAATGAAAAAACTTGGACTGTTCACTCAAAGTCAACGTAAAAATCGTTACATTGAATAATAAACCTAAACACGGGTCCAAAATGCAAATATCTTAACCGTAATCGCCCCCTGATTAGCTACTAATAATTTTCAGAAAAATCCAAAAATTTTCCAGTTAACTAAAAATCAATAAAACAAATTCACTGTAGTTAAGGTACAAAGAAACCCCAATTTTCTATTCTTCTTCTTAGCTTTCTCAGCGATCAAAAAAGAACAGAAAACATTCAAGAAAATCATTAATAAAGCAGTGAAGCAGATAATTCAGCTATAGCTACAAGAGCTAGATCTAACTATAGACATCGTGTAGGATATACAATATACATACAGAACGCATAAATAAACAATATACAATCACGTAGGATACATATCAGATCTCTGTGTGTGTGTGTGTGTGTGTGAGAGAGAGAGAGAGAGAGAGACAGACTCGGGGAGTTGCTTACATTTGCCAGGCAGATAGGATGAAGAGAGAAGCGAAGAGGACCCTCCCAAGGAACGAAAAGAACCCCATTATTGCTTCTGTGTTACCGAGAGCGAGCGAGCGAGAGAGAGATCGATCTCGGAGACTGCTGGCTCTCCGAACTCTCGAATTTCAAATTGAATTTTGGTTAGGTATTATCTTATGGGTTTGTTATTTCTAGGCTCAGACCCGTTAACACGATATTAACAAAAGATTTTACGCCTTTTTTAATTTACTAGTAATTCTTTGCATGAATAATTTTTGTACATAAAAATTAATAAAATATATTAAATATGTGCATATTTGAATTAAATATTATCTTAAGTTTATAAAAATTTAATTTTTCATTATTCATATTCTATTATAAGATTATAAAAATTTTCTATGTATTTAAAATTTTTTGTTCTAACTAAAAGAAAATAAATTTTTAAAAATAGTTAAAATTCTATTTTTTTAAGAATTTTGTAATTAAAATTAATTTTTTTAGTGATATTTGAAAAATTAAATTTTTTGATAAAATTCATTTTATTAGTATTTCACTTATAATTCCTTGAATAAAATAAAATTAATTGTTAGTATACTAATTATATTAGAACCTTATTATAAATAGGAATTAGTTAGGTGGATTGAGATAATATTTAATATACTACTCTAAAAAATCTAAAAATTGCTAAAAAAAATTTCAAATTCTACAATATTAAAATTCTAAAAATTACAAAATTTTACTTCAAATTATACTACAATATCTATTTCTACATAAAATCTTAATACAACTTAAAAATTTTATTGTGACTGGATAATTATATTGATGTAATAGAAATTGATTTAAAAAAAATTATATATATAATTATTTTTTATCTTAAAAATGAAAGATTTAAACTTTTTGATGAAAAAAAATAAACATATGTTAGTATAATGTTATATTTGCATATGAGATGAATAATATTAGATTGATGGAATTTTTGAAGATTTTTTGAACACTTTATTGAAAGTATAATGATGCATATTTTTTGAAGAGTCATATAGTCAATCAATTTTTTTTATAGAAACTAATATTTATACATAGAGAATAGATAATTAAAAGAGATGTTATAAATAATTTAGAGAATTAAATACATAATGATATGATGATAATTTAGATAATTAATTGTCAAAATATAAAGTGGTCTTTGCAATTCTTTATAATGGTAAAATAAAGATTCAAAAGTTTTCATATTAAGGTACTTTTATTAGTAAATATAGATAGATAGATATAGATATGTAAATTTATATATATTTTTTTTTATATAAATGCATTGCATGGGGATTATTTTCAATATAAAATATATTATTGTTATAAAAATTATGAAATAACATCAACTGTATAAATAAACTTTGCTTAAATATTTTGTATAGTATCTAGTGAAACTTATGTTATAGACAAATTTAATCGCATATTAATATGTAAAATTAGACATTAATAGTCTATTACAAATTTAATATCCATTATTTTTAAAAGGATAACAAATAAATGAATGTTTATATTATGATAAGCATAAGACAGTGTACCTCGAAATTCACTATCATATTTTCGATAACAAAAATAAATAATTGGTAAACACTAACTGTTTCATTATTTATTGAAAGACAAATATTAAATTACACTTCAAAAGAAATATCATATATGCTTCATGAACATCCTAGAAAATGAATTACCCACACAAATCTATAATGAACATACTAAAATTTGTTTTACCATATTCAAATGGTAAAATGTATATTGTCAAAAATTAGTTTTTGGTACCTTATGTCCTAGAGCAATTCAAAAAACCTAGTTCAATCATGATCCACATAATAGAAGATTTCGTTTCAATTATTCAATGCATGAAAATAATTACATAAATTTTTTTACTCACGCGGTATAATGTTAAATATGCAACAATGAGTTTCACTGCTAAACAAAAAATGAAAATATTACCATGAAAATTAAACACATAGAAGGTATATGATTTAGAGTAAATAAATCTCATGAAGACATTGTCACAATGACCTTTCATAATTGATCACACTTGTTTATAAATAAAAAACACTTAACAAATCAAGAATAAAATTTTCAAGATATTAGTACAAGCCAAGCTACAAGCAAAACATAAATCATATGAAAAGTGCAATAATATGCAATAAAAAACGTGAATATGAAAGAATGAGAGAAGAATAAAATAGTATTACAATTAATTTATGATTGACATTTATGAGACTGAATATTTGATTATTAGTTGTCCACATAACCATAAAATAGAAGAAGAAATGATTCAAATTTCATTTGATTAATTAATATATTTTTTGTCAGAAATTTGTACCGATTTTGCAAAGCTACACATTAGTTCATATTCTGATATAAAAAAAACACATTAGTTCATATTAGATAAATGATAAAATAAACTTTATGATGGTTATCGATGGCATAATAGTTATATTAATGATAATCTATTATTTTTCATAAAATAAAGATGATTAATGGATTTATTGTAAACAAAAAATTATATAAGAAGTAAATGAAAGAGAGATCGTGTCATTAACTCAGGGAAAAAAAGTATAATACATAGAACAATAATTATTGCAAAAATGAAAGTATATGAAGAGTCATTTGAATATATAATTAATATTAGGTAAGTAAAAAATAAAAAAAGTGCAATACATATCGAACAATCATTATTGTAGAAATGGAAATATATGAAGAATCATTTAAATATATAATTAATATTAGGTAATTAAATAAGTAAGATTATAAGTGCCTTTAATATTTTTTATAGGGATATAATAGACAATCAAAATTTTTTCACTTAACTTTCTCTTTTTAGTAATGTAGATTTATTTTGTAAATAAATGTACTCGATATAATATAATTAATAAATAAAATTGAAATATTTAAAAAATATAGAATATTCTTTATTTATTTATATACGTACAAACCTAATATAACATAATTTATTAAACATAAAATAATAAATAAATCATGTATAAATGAAATATTTTTTGATACAACTCCGTTAAAATTCACACAAATCCACCTTACCCTCCACGAATGATAGTATTCGAATTTAATTTTCACAGTTAAAAGTGTGAATCTTATTTATTGAACAAACGAGTTCAAGTTTGAGCCTAAAAAGTTCAAATTTCATAATCAATCTAAAAAAGTGTTCAATCTCGAATTGTTTTCTAAATGAACAAACTCAAGTTGAGTACAAAACGAGTTCAAGTTCAAGCCTAACAAGCTCAGATTTCATAACCAGTCTAAAAAAGTGTCCAAGCTCGACTCATTTTCTAAATGAACAAGTTCAAGTCGAATCCAAAACAAGTTGAACCCGAATAGTTCAATTATTTTAT